AACACAGGCTGAAACAGGCTGAAACACAGGCTGAAACACAGGCTGAAGCACAGGCTCAAACAGGCTGAAACAGGCTGAAACACAGGCTGAAACACAGGCTGAAACAGGCTGAAGTACAGCCCAAAAGAGTACATTCAGATAAACAACCCCCCAAAACCTACTGGGTGGAAGCACAGCTCAGAGAAACCACTTCCCATTTCTACATAATGTTCCGGGCAGCCTGAGAGCCGTTTAAACCGGAGCTGCATCCACAGCCGGGACTCAGGAGGAAGGAGCTGCTGCCCACTGATGGGAGGGTCAGCAGTTCAACTCCATGTTCCTCCAGACCAGTGGAAGAGTCCCTGGGCAAGGCTCTGAACCCCAAGCTGCCCACTGGTGTAACCAGTGTGTGAATGTGTGTGTGGAGGGTGAATGACAGGTAGTGTAAAGTGCTTTGAGTAGTCAGCTTGATTGGAAAAGCGTTTTATAACATTTACTTCCACTGACAAATACTTGAGCTACAAAGCCAGCTGTTGGGACTCAGCGGAGGCAGGTGTGCTGTCCAGCTCCATCACCACCCGCATTTCAGAGCTTCCCAAAGCTCAGACCTCCCTCAGTGAGCAGGCAGGGAAATGGAAGCGATTCTAAAAAATAAAAATAAAAAAAAGGGCGTGTATATTTTCAAAATAGATCAGCTTCTGTTTTCAAAGCTACAAGCTGTTTGTGGGACATTTCACGATGAAACCAGACCTGGAAAAGGGTACTATTGCATGACCAGCTGTTTGCAGTTCTGACCGATGGCTTTTCCTTTCAGGGGGAAGTTTGCTGTGGTCAGAAAGTGCGTGGAGAAAGGGACTGGTCACGAGTACGCCGCCAAGTTCATGAGGAAGAGGCGGAAAGGGCAGGACTGCCGCACAGAGATCATCCACGAGATCGCCGTGCTGGAGCTGGCCACGGCCAGCCCCCGCGTGGTCACCCTGCACCAGGTCTACGAGATGGCCTCCGAGATGGTGCTGGTCCTGGAGTTGTGAGTATCCGTCTGAAACGCTCAATACCAGCTGTAGGAATGACCCGGAAGCTCCTATGTTTAGTTCTGATCAGACCGGGAACCCAACTGGAGCTGCTCCCCCCGGGCCAAATCTGCATGCTCCAGCAGACACCTGCTATCTGAGCAATGTGCCTGACGCCATCGTATGCACACACACACACACACACACACACACACAGACACACACACACACACAGACACACAGCCTTTACCATTAAAACAAAGCATTTCCTGTACTGTTAACCAGCGATCCTGATCCCAGTCAAAGATATGGACACACAGCAGACAGTTTGATGTGTTAAATCCATCAGTTACATTTCATCTGGAGCACGACTCAGTTTGACCCAGAATGGAGGACACACACACACACACACACACACACACACACGCACAATACGGCGCGGTGTTGACGACAGGCCACACCAGTTGTCGATGATCCCATCCCGCTGGTCATGCCGGGACCATGCCTGACCTGGTTCCCAGTGTGTGTGTGTGTGTGTGTGTGTGTGTGTGTGTGTGTGTGTGTGTGTGTGGGTGTGTGTGTGTTCAAGCCATGGCTGGATGATCAAAAAGGCCTCTATCACTTCCTCTGTCTCTTCTGTGTCCTTGTCTCTGTCCTGTCAAATGTCATATTGGATTTAGCATGTGCTCCTCACTGTGTGGACACACACACACAGTGTGTACTCACACAGAATGGAGACTATTTTATGGGGTGTTGGTCCATTCTTGATGGACTGCAGCCCCATGCCTGAGAATATTATTAGTGGTGGCAGCTCCGTGTTTCTCCATTGTCTTTACTGGTCCAGATTCCAAACCAGCAGAAGTTTCCAGTAAATCTTCAGACCACTTCTGAGCTCCGTTTGGTCATTTGGATGATGTCTCTTCTCTTCTGGTGAAACCGAAACCGCTTTGCCAACAAGTAGTTGCTGGGTTTCTGTTTTGTTTTGGGTGAAAGTGGACTGGACTTTTGTCTGCACATTCAGAATGAGGACGACTGGGTCGAATCTTATCAAAAACATCCCAAACAAGTTTCATGTCCCCTCCTTTGTGTTGGCCAAATTAATGTTCCAGTGTTCTGTATGCGGGTGCCACATGGACCAACTCAAACCGATGTACGGTCTATGGTTTCAGAACCCCTCCAGTTTGAAGGGGAGGTTGGTCGTGGACAGTGAATCCATTAGAGGGGTCACTCTGATGCTACTGGCTGTCTGATTTTCCCTGTCTACAGCACATGCCATAGCATACAGAGTGCCCTACCAAGACGACCCCTAGATGTCCAGTCAGCCCACCGCCCCCACTTCAGCCCGTAATCCCAGTCCCAGCCATCTCTCATGCAAAGGCTAATCCCAGAATTAACTTCTATCCAGAACGAGGATGGTGCTTAGTGCTGAACTCTGAGCTGAAAACTACTCAAAGACTAACCAAACTATGGAAAAAACGGGAAACGTCTGTTTGGCTGCTGAAGCGGAGGTTATTTGATGTTTGTCTCATCACTGTGGAAGATGAAATGTTGGATTAGATAGTGCATGTGTGAGTTAATTGTTAAATCCAGTCTAAGGCAGACCAATAAGAATCCTTAACATTGTAACACAGTCTTAATCCACTTCATTCATATTAAAATGGGAACAAGTTCTTGTTGCCTTTTCCCATCAAGAGTAGCAACAAGGCCTGAAATGGGTCCAATACACCCAAAGCCAATGTAAAGAAAAGCTAAGGAACCGAAAGATTGCGCCACAGTGTCAAATCAATCTATCTGGAGCCTGATCTTAAAGGAAGAGGGGAGGTCTGCTTTCTGAACCCAGAATGGTTCCTCAGAGGGGGGGTCTGCTTCTGAACCCAGACTGGTTCCTCAGAGGGGGGACAGCTGGACTCATCCAGCTGGGACGGAGCTGCCCACTCAGAGCTTCAGATGTGAGGAGGCAGGACTAAATCAGATTTGAAGGTGTTTGATCAGGAGGCTGAACGTGGAGGTAGCCTCTTTACTCTGGTGTAACGTTTCTGTAGAACCCCTCCAGGTACGGTGAGCACTTCAGGAAACGTGTAGCTGTTACTGTTTGTGTCGGACTGGATTAGTTGGTCTGATCCAGTGAGGAATAGTTTTTCCTCCCAGCGACGGCGTGCACGTGCGGGGAGCTGCCACGTGGGCCGGAGGCCTGTTTGTGTGAACGCTGACACAGATTAGAGGCACACATCTCCCCTCCGCTGACCTGATTATTGGTGGGACGGTTCAGCTGGCCCTCTCTGACGTTTTTTCTGTGGTAAAGCCAGGTTTGCATGGCACCACTGTCACCCTGCTGGAGGTTAGGCTGGGGAGTCGGGGTCCCTTTGGGCTGAGCATCAGGAAGACTTTCAGCAGGACCTTCCAAGTGTCCAAAAAAGGACATGAAATATCAAATCAAACTAAACCCTCCAGCAGCGATGCCCTTAAGTGATAATCGGTTTAGTTTTTAGTGAAAGAGGGGCTTCTGCTTGCTCTTTTTTAATGAGTGAAACACTAAAGATTGTTAAATAATTAATGCAAACTGTTGTGCAGAAAAGGTATGAGATGAATAAGGGAAGGATGAGAAAAACCACAAAGTCGCTTTATTCTTCAGATTCTTAAAGATCCTAAATTATTGGGATTTTTAGGAGGAATTCTTTGTATGTGTGTGAGCATTAAACTCTTAAGGATGTTTGGATAAAAGTTTGAATGTGAATTTGAGTTAGATTTTCATATCTGCCCCCCCCCCCCTCCTTCTTGTGCGTTCGTGTATCCACTCACTCTCACATGTCAACATGTCCATGTTGTAGCTGTATAGAGTTGATAGAAAAGGTCTTGTCAGTAGCTCAGTCGTTCTTTTGTTTGTTTGGACATACCTGCAGCTGGAACTCAGCACATCTGGGGCATCATGTGATCCCTCAGGAGCCAGTCACCTGACCTAATGCTGTCAGCAGGGAGCCCAGGCCTCAGGGAGAAGGTCCGAGTCCAAACAGAGACTGGCAGAGGACACATGGCCTGTTTTAATTCTGTCCAAGATTGCTGGACAATACAACAGAAGATCATGGAGTTCTAACCAGAGGCTTTGATTTAGACCACTCTGCCCAGTTCGATCAGGATTCCTGCTGAAAGCTGAACTCATGAGCGGAAGTGAGGCAACGTGACCCGCCCGTGGTTTTCTGTTTGTTTTGAGGTTTGGCAGTGGTTTGAGGGGTGTTTTCTTCTCACCTTGAAAGACCCAAAAACACCTCCCTCTCCTCTCCTGCTTCCTCTGAGATAAGGCCTCATTCATCTGCTCTCTGAGGGAGCGCTTGTCTCTCCAGGACTGAAATGTCAGTCAGGATCCTGCTTCTGTTGGCCTTAACTAAGTACTCAGGTCAGAGGAAATGAAAGGAAGTGGAAGGAGGGCAGCACAGCCAGTCTTTAGTTTGGCTCCTTTCTGTTTGCTGGCGTGTTTTGTTTAGTTTTTTTACTCAAATGGAGAGAAGATGATCTGTCAACAGAAGAAATGGCCTCATTCAAGTGAAGCACGTAATTAGTTTGCTATTTTCGGAGGTGCTTTGCTATTTCTGCCAGCAGCTCCAGAAAGCCGGAACACACAGATCCACATTCTGGGGCCGCAGAGCAGATCCTGTCTGCGTGGTGGCCAGAGGCCCCACAGCTCCTGACAGGTCTGTGCTCATTATGGCCAGTCTGTGGAGGACACCGAACCACTCCGCACTTCCTGTGGGCTCCTGTGGGTTCCTGTGGGTTCCTGCTGCTGCCTGGATGCTAACGGTGGTCCAGAAGCAGCCGCTAGCTTCTCTGTGAAGGCCTGTGACTGACCTGTGACATGGTCCGATGGTCTCTGGTGTTTTGCAGTGCTGCTGGGGGAGAGATCTTCAACCAGTGCGTGTCTGAGCGGGAGGACGAGGCCTTCAGCCAGGAGGACGTGAAGAGGCTCATGAGACAGATCCTGGAGGGAGTCTCCTTCCTGCACCAAAACAATATAGTCCACCTGGACCTGAAGGTCAGTGCAGACACCCACTGTCCTTTTGTTCAGGAAGCTGCTCCTGATGAAAGTATTTAAGGCAAAGCTTCAAAATAAAACCCTCTTAAGTTTGGGGTGTCGGAGCAAAAGGTTTTGGCTAACATGTAGCTAACAAAGAATAGAGACGTATCTTCTGCTACAAGGCTCTTTGTTGTGACTGTTTTCTTTGTTTGTGCCCCCCCCCCCAGCCTCAAAACATCCTGCTGACCAGCAGCTCTCCAGTTGGCGACATCAAGATTGTGGACTTTGGTCTTTCCAGGAGGGTCAGCAGCCACCATGAGCTCAGAGAAATTATGGGAACCCCTGAGTTTGTGGGTGCGTTGCTGTTCCACCTCATCACTGTCCAGAATATGAGCTGTGATTATCTCCAAAAACCCCCATGTTTCTGCCTTCCTTCAGCTCCGGAGATCCTGAACTATGAGCCCATCAGCACAGCAACAGATATGTGGTGAGTGAGCTTTGCCATATGAAATCTAAAGTGATGCTTTTTTAATTGATGCTAGTTTTAATATCAAGTGAAACAAACTGTTTCTAAAACTGCAGAAGGAGCTGTGTGAGAGCGGTTAGTTTGTTATCCTGCTCTGGGACCAAAAGTATCCAACACTAAACTTTTTATTTACAGAGGTGTTGTTGGTTTAATATGCACATTTGTCCATTTCAGTAAATGCAGCTTTTATAAAGAACAAGGGTGAGAAGGGAAAGGGAGGTAAGCCTGGGAGGACTACACTGGATGTGTTTGTGTTACTTGGGGGAGAACAGACACTTCCGTTGTATTTCTCGGCTCGATTTATTTAATCAAAGAAATGTTGAAGCACTTCCTGGAGCAGTCACATGGTGCGGCGCTCCAGTGAGGCCTCACACGCCATCACATACAGTACGTCATCAGTTCAACCAAATATTTGCTAGGAGAGTGGGTCCATCACACATTCGCAGGAGTTTAAGCTTTTCCTTCTTATCAAAATGCTCTCATTGACTTGCACAGGTAGCAGTTTCCAGATCATTTATCGTATATTCACATACCTGTGTTACCCTGGAGTTGTGTTAAAACATACATAATGCCAAAAAACTGTGCTTAAACCAAAGGGGAGGACTTAGTTTAACATTTCTTTATATCTAAATATGTTCTGCTGCATTTGGTTCATGAAGAAAATGTGAAAAGTGCCCGGCTCCTAATCTAACCGGCCCTTCCTCTTGCTCTGCGATCAGAGAGCTGCTGGCATCAGATGCTGCCAGCAATCACATCCTTTGTTGTTTCTAAAGGCGGTCAACAACCATCCAACCATCTCTGACCAACCGTCTCTGTTGTGGACAGAGTCTCCTCTGTGTGTCCAGCTGAGGTCTGGACTTTAGTCCGGCTGGTTTTTCCTCTCCTGTCTTCCCGTTTTCACCCTCTGCTCTGTGTGCTGCGTTCAGGAGCATCGGGGTTCTGGCCTACGTGATGCTGACGGGCTTCTCCCCGTTCCTGGGGGAGGACAAGCAGGAGACCTTCCTGAACATCTCGCAGCTGAACGTGAGCTACAGCGCGGAGGAGCTGCAGCAGCTGGACCACAGCGCGCTGGCCTTCATGCAGACGCTGCTCCGCAAGCGCCCGCAGTCA